TCCATTATTGTATATCAGGAACATTGTGACTTTTAATATTAGCATTTTGCTTTCAACAGCAATTAGCAATCTCTTGGTTTGCTGTTTGGTAAAGCATCGGTTAATGAGGTCATCTAGTTTAAAATCCCAGCTACTGGAAAATAACAGGGAGGAGGTCAAATCTATCATTTCATGTTATATTCTCTGCTCTCTTTTCTAAGGAAAAGATATCTTTGTTATCCACAATAAGTCATTACGACCCGTTACTGGCCCTCTGTTTTACTACCGCCTCAAGATACGGTTAGGTTCTCTCTTGCTGAAGTACTGAAATAGGAAAGTTCATCTACAAACAAAAATAAAAGAACTTTGAGCATCTGAGGATGAAGAATTGGTTTCATGTTGGTTGTGTTGTCTTTCCTCTGACAGTTCTGAGTTCACATCTAGCGCGGGGTTGTCTCTATGGTGGAAGGGGTCCCCGGGGTGGTTGACCTTGGGGTGGCTGCTGGTGGTGTGTCCATGGGGCTCCCGGCCCCACTGTTGGGCGTGACAGACGAGCTGACCGCGGGCGTGTCCCCCTGCTGCTGGGCCTGCAGGGTCTGTCCACAGATGTGGTGGTGCTTTTCCCAGTCTTTGTGTTGGCAAAACGAGCCACAGTATCGGGCTGTGTTACAGCCGCTGCAGGTTTCACTTGCTTTACGGCCACAGTTCCAGCAGCTCTAAAGGAGAAGCAGAACAAAGGAAAATCCCAAATTAATACATTGGCCAGGCCAAAATCTGAGGAAATGTCCTGGGCCGCAGAGCTCCCTTATATTCAAGAACTGTGTGCTATGAATGAAAACTCCAGGTGGGTGTGTGAATACACGCTAAGCACACAGAGATGCAGGTTCTGGTGTGATGACCGCTCAAACTTTTCTGCCAACACCTATGATGACACCTAAAAAACTGGCTAATGCTCCTTTCCGTTTTAACTATAATAGCCCTTCCTTTTAGTTTGGCTCTCTTCCCATCTAAACTTGTTGTTCACCTATACTAACATTTGCTGCACCTACAATTTTTTTCCCTTCTAATACCAATACCACCATGATCAAACACAAGTACATCACTCTGGGCAAAAGCAGCTTTCTTGTACATATCACAGAAATTACAAAGGAACTATAAGAACCTTTTATTAGATTCAAAGAAATATAATGAAGAAGACAGAGGATTCTATTTCCTGCTCCATCACAGACTAGAGAGAGTGAGTTAAGGCCCTGTGACCTCCCCATGCGTTTACTTTTGCCACAGTTATCAGGTAGTTATTCCGTGTACCTGATAAGCAAACTATCGACCTCAACTCTCTGGAGAGCAGGGTCCTCGGTTTGTTTGTTCTCTGACACACTCTAAGCACCCAGAACAGCATCTTATATATAGCAGGTGCTCAATAAATGTATGAAATTAATGAATCCGACAACACCTAATTTGACTTTGAAACACTAAAAATACTAAAACTGGGTGAATAATAAGGGATTTTATTGAAACACAATGCATTCCAGTTGATGGAGTTCCTTCTAGCTCACTTGCTCCTTAGCAACTCTGGGTAGTCAGCCAAGTGGAGGAAACTAAAACCCTAAACCCTAGCAAGTCCAATGCCCATGATCAGTGCTTTCCAAGAGGTGAAAAAGCCCAAATGAGGTTGCCTCTGAGATTTGAACATTGAAATAAACACATCGTGAATCAGGGCACAACATACTAGAGACAGAAGAGCGCTTGCATGGGATAAATCCTAAGGACCCGAGGAAAAGGGGAAACCCCAGGAAGCCAACTTTAAAGGACTGTCTAGTGGTTCCCTTGGCACAACCAATCCTGTTGTGAAATTCTAGATGAAGTGATTTTTTCTGTGTGTGCCATTAATCTTTTTATTCTTTATCTTTCTTGGTTTTAATTATTTTGTAGCAAAACAAAATTCTAACCGGTAACTCCAACCGCCTGACGGTATGTGTGTGTGATGGTTGTGTCGCAATTAAAATGCATTTTTTTAAAGCCCTGATATCGGTGGATATTTAAAAATCTTTCCACTGTGCCCCCTGCATTTGCTTTATGTTAAGCATGCTGGCTGGGCAGCTTAGGGTGGGCTTGTGCGCCTACTTTGAATACCCCTGTGGGATGTCAGCCCATCTCTCTGACATGTGTTGGCTTCATCACCATGCAAAATATGCAGAGAAATTTTAGCAGTCACCCCGACTTTGCTAAGAAATAAAGGGGCTTCTAGGGTTTCAAGTGCTGGAAGCCCACATACTCAAGAACTCTAATTTATAACTTCTAGAAAGAGTTCAGTTCTCTGGTCTTATCTCTTTACCATTTAGGAATTATGGCCCAGTGAAGGGGGAAAATAAAACCCAAAGAAACTTTAAGATCTCAAATGCTGGCCAATGAAAGACGTTTTAAGTGACCATTGAGGAAACCTATGCTAATATCATAAATAAAAATAAAACTAAAATAGTCAGTACTGGAACACAGTTTGTTTTATACTTTAATTTAACCAGGAGAATAACCCAAAAGATGTGTACTTCTGATCACAGGTTTCATTGCCATAACTTGAATATCTTTTTTCTCACAATTAATTCAATCACATCAGATGTACAAATGACCCCGCAAAGACGTGAACGAATGTGGGCCTGGCCCATCCTTCAGAGCAGTGAGGTATGACATGGCACTCAGAGTAATATTTACATCCTTGAGGTTTAGCCACTTTTAGAATAATGCCAGCTGGATCCTGGAACAAACTCAGCAAATAAGTGAAATTACTAAATTACATCAGAAAATCCCAATTATAGAACAGAGACTCAGATCCAAAACAATATTTTAAGGAAATTAAGTATCTACTCTAAGTCAAGTGGCTTCTTTAAAAAATACCCTGGTGTGAGGGTATTTTTTTCTGGCAGAGGCACATTTTGGCAGACACAACAGTGGTGACTGCCCAGCACTCAATGCCGCCGTCAGATGGAAATCAGATGTAGGCGACCTTCTCAATTTAAGCTGATTAAACACACAGACTAAACCAGGTAATTACAGATGCATGTGTTGGAGGGTGGAAAGAGGAGACAGAATGGGGACTTCTTTAATTTTTAAAGTGTTTTCAAAGATGGGAACAATTTTACAAATAAAAAAAAGTGGAATTATGCCAAATATAGAAACAGATGTTTTGGATCGTGAAGCTGCTGGGAATTGAGCCTTCTTGCCTAGCATGGCCTGATTCTGACCCAGAATTCAAGGGCTCTGGCTAATTTTACCTCTAGTCCCATTCCCAAGCCGTTTGATCAAATTCATTTACCACCCACAGCTGGGACAGAAACAACCTTCAGCTGTAGGAAAGTACAACAAAGAGCAATTCAAATGACCTGGTGGGGAAAAAAACCTACATATTTTTATTCCTCTTGACACTACATTGCAATGAATGTGTAGGGAACTTTAGCATAAGTAGTCAACTAACAAAAAACTCCAAAAGTGCACATTCCTTTTTTAAAGCTCATTAGAAAACAGACAAAACAATTTCTATTAATATATTTCTCTTGGATGGCATTACCGAATTTCCTGTTGGCTAATCCGTATCTGCAAAAGTGATGATTGACCAATGGCACTCAGCCCCTAGTAGTCACACTTCTGGGAACAGTGAAATAAATGTATAGGATCTTGTGAGTACTCTAATCTGGAAGATTTTAAGTTTCTAAGGTTTCTGCTGTTCACAAAGGCGGAAACTAAAAATTGTGTGTAATACCCGGTGGTATAGCCATAAAGGATAGGGATAAAGGTGGTCAATGATTTAATCTAGTGTCACATTTTTGAATTTGTGCTTTTTATATTTGTGCTAGTATTTCCTAATACTTGCTCTATTTATTTGTCTGTTACCAATTTTATTCTTTTTTAAATAACTGAGCTTCCTTTTCAGTCCCTGAAACAATGGTGCTGGTGACTAAATTACCATAATAGTATAGAACAGCGATTTTCAATTTATGTGCTGCAAGAATTTTTAAAACATGCAATATGTGACTATTTAGTCAGGGGCACTGAACTCTTTTCCCTTAGGCTGTCAGATACAAAAATGACAACCACCAACACAACAGCCATCCAGTGTGAATGAATCAAAATTATACCTGTTGTGTTTTTTTGTGTGTGTGGGTTTTTTTGGTTTTTTTTTTTTTTTGTCTTTTTGTCAGATCGATAAAAAGAAATCATATGTTTTTTGGAGTGCTGCAGAATTTTAATAATTAATTTATGTGTCCCATGAGATAAAAATGGTTGAAAATTGCTGGGGTAGGAAGCTCAAGAACACCGTTTCTTAGCAAATTTCACTCCTAAATCTCAAGGCACTTTACAGTCTCTCCATATTTGTGATAATATATTCCCTTTTCAGCATAAGAATATTTTATTCCCTATCTGAAAATTGGGAATTAGTTCATTTACCAAAGTTAGGCTATGACTCAGATGAAGAATATGAGGCTAACCACACTGTTCCCCTTTGCTAAATGTACTAATTCTACAGATAGAAATGGAAATGATGGATTGAAGCTTCCTAATGCCAAAGCTGCATGTCAAAGATTATTAATACTTTGTTTCATATCAGCAATTCTCTTCATCCCTAAGACCCAAATTATTTCTTTCATCTTTTATTTTAGACATAGAGTGAATGGTCTTTCTGCCCTCGCAGCAAAATCAGATATTTTCTGGTTCTTATTGTTGAAAATTCCTTTCCTAAGGAACAAAACACTTTTTCCTGAATTACTTTAAGGTTCTCCAGTTCTTACATACCTGTAATTCTCCAGGAAAAAATCTCTCATAGGCACTCTCACAGGCAAAGGATGCTCAATAAATTCAGTTGAATGTTTATCATTACAATTCCCAAAATTAAAAGAACTCTACAGAAGGTAACACAACTTAAATTCACACTAAACATCACACCTTACATTGCACTTGACAAAAATTTTAAACCACTTTCAAATGCATTTTGCAGCTTAGGAAACTGAGGCCCCCAAAAACTGAGGCTCAGAAAATAAATAACTTTTGAGTAAATGACTTAACCTAAACTCACACAGATATGACATTACAAAGCCAAGGTTTGATTCACCCAGTCTTTAGACTGCAAACCAAATACTTTACAAAATGCCACACTTTGTCGATTTTGGATTTCTCTTAGGGCCTGTTTTGGCAGGAATAAGGTTAGAAGGGTGCTCACCTCCTGAAAGTGGACAGAGGCTGGGTCAGACATTTGGAGCACCAAAGACAAGGTATCCTGGTGTGTACTGGAAATGGCTTGACATTTTGACTGGCTTCAGAGTCAGCCTATGTTGAGTTTCACTTCCAACGATATCACTTAGTGGATTTAGAACTACAGGCAAGTTACTTAACCTTTTAGTGACAGTACTTGGAAAACAGGAATAATAACCGCAGGGTTATTCAGGACTATGTCAGTGCTAAGCATGGTGCCTGTGTTCAGTAGGTCCTGAAAAAATGTCAGAAACTAACAAGACACCGCCTCCTTTTGGCACTGGCTCAAAGAAAACGAGTCTACATGTAATCTTTACACAGTGCAACCTTTAGAATTAGAAAGCTTCTGGCCCCTGTGCCTTCCCCCACAGGCCCTGACAGCTATACAGAGAGACCATTAGCTTTCTTCCCCCTACAATTCATTAGTGACCAATTACTTTTTCTCCACTCTCACTGTCCTCGGACTTTTCTACAG